TGGGAGGAGAGGAGAAGAGAAGAGAGGAGAAGAGAAGAGAAGAAGGGAAGGGAAGAGAAAAGAAGAGTGAAGGGGAGAGAAGAGAGGGGACATGGGAGGAGAGGAGAAGAGAAGAGGAGAAGGGACAGGAAGAGAAGAGGGAAGGGGGAGAGAAGAGAGGGGACATGGGAGGAGAGGAGAGGAGAGGAGGAGAGGAGAGAAGAGACCCCTGAGGCTGGGAGTTGCAACAGCAAGCTAGGGTCAACACGCAGAGTTGGGGAAACAGGAGAAGAGAAGTCTGTGGAGGTCCCTTGTTCCCACAGAGAGGGGCCCGTTTCCTGTCCATGCATGTGCCAAAGCAGCCACAGAGCTTGAATCTTGTGCAGAGCCAGCCGCTGCGACTGCAGGAGTTCATTTCCACTGGTGGGAACATCTCTGCATCGTAATTAGGGTGCTGTTTTTCCTTTCAAAGCCATGCATGTGTGGCCTGAGAATTCCTTAGGCATTACAGGGTCCTTTGTGAAGGGCCTGTTATTTGCTACAAAAGGGTTTGCGGTGGAGCTGGGATCGAGTCAAAGTCCTCTGTTCCATAATGGTTGCCAAAAATAAGAGGAGAGGAGAAATGAGGAACTCAAATCCTAAGAGAAGCACCGACCGCAGGCCTGCCCTCCAAATGCAGAGTGGAGACTCCAGCCAGCTTTGCTGTGACCACGGGCGCACAACCCCTCTAATTCCAGAGAACTCCAGCTCTCTTATTGTAAGGCATTGGACAAAGTAGACCACGATCTACTCCTTGGTAAGCTAGAAGAAGGTGGAATAGACAACATCACCACCAGATGGATCTGTAGCTGGCTGGCAAACCGTACTCAACGAGTAGTCCTTAATGGTACTACATCTACATGGAGAGAAGTAAGCAGTGGGGTACCACAAGGTTCCGCCTTAGGCCCAGCACTCTTCAATATCTTCATCAATGGCTTAGATGAGGGAATTGAAGGGGAACTCATCAAATTTGCAGATGACACCAAACTGGCAGGAGTAGCCAACACCCCAGAAGACAAAACTCAGGATCCAAAAAGATCTTGACAAATTTGAACAATGGGCCCTATCCAACAGAATGCGTTTCAATGTGGAGAAAAGCAAAGTTTTACATTTAGGCATCAAAGGTATATATATAGATTGGGCAAGACCTGGCTCAAAAACAGTCAAGTCGTGGGGGCTGCTTTGCACCTGGGGGGTTCCTTGTTTTTTCTCTTTGGGTTATTCCGAGTTTGTTTGTTTTTTAAAGGTATTTTTGATTGCATTTGGGGCACTTTTAGACAGCAGTGGTCCAAACTTGGCACTGGGTCCCCAGCAACGTGTGTGTGTGTGTGTGTGTGTGTGTGTGTGTGTGTGTGTGTGTGCGCGCGTGCACATATACTCTTACAGGGTTTTTTTCTTTTGCTATCCCAACTTTTCCTAATAACCAGCCAAGGAAATGATACCCTTTCTGGGACTAATCTCTGCTCTTGGTGACCACTGACTTTGACTTTCAGTGGCCAGGTCTGAGCTCTCTCGGGGGATGCCTTGCTTGATCGGAGTCTGGCTCATGCCAGGAGTTCCACTGACCTTCGTGGGGCACACAGTAGACGGGTCCTTCGTCTGTGGTATCGAAGGAAGAGAAGGAGCCCCTGGACGACCAGGAGGGCGACGGCTGATCCACCACAGAAGGTGGTTCAATGAAGCTGCAGTTCAGGGTGTTCTCCAGGTCATGATGAGCCACTGCAAGACATGGAGAGGGTGGAAAAGGGAGGTTCAATCAATCAATCAATCAATCAATCAATCAGTCAATCATTCAGAATAGAGCTGGGACCTTTGAGGTCTTCTAATCCAACCCGCTACTCAAACAGGAGACCCTATACCATTTTGGACAAGTGGCTGTCCAGTCTCTTCTTAAAAGCCTCCAGGGATGGAGCAGCCACAATGTCTGAAGGCAAAGCTGTTCCACTGGTTAATTGTCCTCACAGTTAGGAAGTTTCTCCTTAATTCCAGGTTGCTTCTCTCCTTGATTAGTTTCCATCCGTTGTTTCTCATCTTGCCTTCTGGTGCTTTGGAAAATAAGTTGACCCTCTCCTCTTTGTGGCAGCCCCTCAAATATTGGAACACTGCTATCATGTCCCTTCTATTCTATTCTATTCTATTCTATTCTATTCTATTCCATTCAATTCCATTTAAAGATTCTATTCTATTCTGTTCTGTTCTGTTCCGTTCCATTCCATATTCTATTCTATTCTATTCTATTCTATTCTATTCTATTCTATTCTATTCCATTCCATATTCTATTCTATTCTATTCTATTCCATTCCATTCCATATTCTGTTCTGTTCTGTTCCGTTCCGTTCCGTTCCATTCCATTCCATTTCATATAAATATTCTATTCTATTCTATTCTATTCTATTCTATTCTATTCTATTCTATTCTATTCTATTCTATTCCATTCCATATTCTATTCTATTCTATTCTATTCTATTCTATTCTATTCTATTCTATTCTATTCTATTCTATTCTATTCCATTCAATTCCATTTAAAGATTCTATTCTATTCTGTTCTGTTCTATTCTATTCCATTCTATTCCATTCAATTCCATTCCATATTCTATTCTATTCTATTCTATTCTATTCTATTCTATTCTATTCTATTCTATTCCATTCAATTCCATTTAAAGATTCTATTCTATTCTGTTCTGTTCTATTCTATTCCATTCTATTCCATTCAATTCCATTCCATATTCTATTCTGTTCTGTTCCGTTCCGTTCCGTTCCATTCCATTCCATTTCATATAAATATTCTATTCTATTCTATTCTATTCTATTCTATTCTATTCTATTCTATTCTATTCCAAGTAGCAGGGCCTGAGGAGGAACTGGAGAGGACATGGAAAGTCAAGTCCAAAATGCTCCTACTGGTGGTAGGAACACTCCAGGGTGGGAGAGGAGCTCCGCAGATCCCAGGAGCAACGTCAGGGCTGCTCTCTGTCCAGAAAAGCATAGTTAAGGACCCTAAAATTGTGAAAGAGCCAACCATCTGGAGGGCGAGAGCTTCCTCAAACTGGAAACTGTGGGCAGCCAGGGAGGCTGTGGACTGATGGGGAGACGGTAGCCAAAAATAACACCACCAGCAATACAGGTAAGTCCTTGACTTAACAACAGTTCATTTAGTGACCGTTCAAAGTCACAACGGCACTGAAAAATGGGACTTATTTTTCACACACACCGTCGTAGCGTCCTCGTGATCACACGATCAAAATTCAGACACTTGGCAACTGACTCATACTTATGACCGTTGATGTGTCCCAAGGCCACGTCGTCCCCTTTTGCGACCTTCTGACAATCAAAATCAGCGGGGCAGCCAAATCCCCTTAACAACCGTCTTATGAACACATCAACTGCGGCGATCCCCTTCGCAAGTGCGGCGAGAAAGGTCGTAAAATGGGGGCAAAACTCACCGAACAAACGTTTCACTTAACAACAGAAATATTATGGACTCAATTGTGCTCATAAGCCGAGGACTACCTGTACACCCCCCCGTCCCCCCAAACAAGCAAATTCTGCACGCTCAGAAACTTGGCCAAGAGGAATCCAGAAGACAGCAGGGAAGTAGACTTACCTCCTTGGGGAGAGGAACAGGGTTGGCCCAACACCCAGGCAGAGATTGACGGCTCTTTCAAGCTCTTAGTTGTGTGTGTGTGTGTGTGTGTCCCTGATTATCCCTTAATTGAGATGGCTAATGCCCTGGTTCCACAAATGCTGCCCAGGCTTTGAGCTGCTCCTGCAGTGATGTGCCAGGCGAGCCCAACAGAAGGGGCTCTGTGTGCAAGCAACCCTGGGGGGGAAGGGGAAGCAGCGCTTCCGATGCCTTCAGACCTCTGGTTCTGGGTGAGTCACCGCCAAATAAATCGTGCTGAGAGTGGCTGGAGAAGGCTTTCCTGTGGGCCTCTCCTGTGTTTGTTCTGCTGCAAACACCGCCCGGAGAGATGCTTTAGAGCAGACATGTCAAACACAAGGCCCGGAGGTCGGATGCAGCCGGCGAAGTGGTTTCGTGTGGCCCGCGAAGCCATGCTGGAAACAGTGAGGGAACGGCCCCCGCTGCCTTGGCCCTGGCCCAGGCCGGCTGGGAGCCAATGTACAATTTTGTGGTGGCCATCTTGGCACTTGCCCCGGTCCCACCCCCTTCTGCCAGAGACCCTCAGATCTGTCCCACTCCTGCCCAGGCCCCCCACAGGCATCCTTGATGCGAACGATGTAGAGCTGGCCATGCCCACCCAGTAGGCCACACCCACTCCATCCATGCCCACCCAGTAGGCCACACCCACTCCATCCACGCCCACCCAGTAGGCCGCATCCACCCTGGCCACACACACCCGGCCCCCCAAGGGCAACCGCAATGCTGATGCGGCCCTCAGTGAAATTGAGTTTGACACCCCTGCTTTAGAGGGCTGGTGCTTCGCGGCTCTGAGGCTCCCCTCCGTGGGAAGGCAGGAGGAGGCGAAGGCTGCGGAAACCGGCATAACCGCCCCTTCGGTGCTTCACAGCCCAACACAATGACAACCAGGCTTCGGAACTGCAGCCCGGGATTCTCTCCTTTCTCTTCCAGAGCCCAGAGGCAAAGGCAGGAATGGAGGGTTATTCCATCTTCAGTTCCTCTAAGCTAAGGCAGGTGTGTGTGGGGGGAACCTTCACAAGAAATCTTCAACGGCACATATAAGGAAGGGAAAGAGGCCTCAGGCCCACCAGCAGCCATGCCAAGGCTTCCTAGTGCACTAGGGACGGTCAGAGGCAGCCAGGCAGACTCTAAGCTGGGGACAGAGAGAGGAGCTCCTGTCCCACGAGAATCCTGCCGGATACAAGGGTGCCATCCTTCCTTTCTGGAATGACACTAAGAATGGATGTGGTTCGGGTGGGGAAGGAAGGAAGGAAGGAAATCAGGACGGAAGGAAGAAAGAAATCAGGGAGGAAAGAAAAATCAGGGAGGAAGGAAGGAAAGAAAGAAAGAAAGAAAAATCAGGAAGAAAGGAAAGAAAGAAAGAAAGAAATCAGAAAGGAAGGAAGGAAAGGAAGGAAGGAAGGAAGGAAGAAAAAAATCAGGAAGGAAAGAAAAATCAGGGAGGAAGGAAGAAAAGAAAGAAAGAAATCAGAAAGGAAGGAAGGAAGGAAGGAAGGAAGGAAATCAGGAAGGAAGGAAGGAAAGGAAGGAAGGAAGGAAGGAAGGAAAGAAA